GAATGCGTTATGGCAGAAGAAAACTGCTGCATAGACTAGAGTGTTGTTTGAAATGTGTTGGAATTGGTGACTTAACCATTCAGTTTAGTTTAGTTTAGTCTGGTTTGTATAGTCTGGCAAAGGGTTACAAAGCTTGACAAACAGCAATTTCAAACAAGTTTATCTCTGATGATTTCTTTATCAAAATACTATATTTACGCAACTTTGTCCATATTTTCCTCACTAACTAAATCTCATGACAAACTGGGACATATCTAAACACTGTTGTAGTTTACCAAATAACGTAACTTATTGTAAAATAATAATTTAACTTTTTTTCTACTTATTCTTCATCTGCAAGAACTTTACTATGTACTTCATATATGAGCCACTGTGATGACGTAGACTTTTTCTACAACTTACTAGAGTTAACTTGATAACAAATATATATAAGAGGGTTTGAAGGAATGGTGGAGGATCCGTAGATCTAAACTTAATTACACAGAGGGGTTACTGATCTGAAATTTGTCCTGTGTAACACTTGTGTGACACATGTCATGTGAATGCTACCAACAGAAAGAAATGCCTAAGCCTATGTTTCTATGTCCCACTTTTCAACCATGCATTTTGATAACATGACTGAATTTGGTAATGTAGACACATGTAAAGATAATAGTTCTTGTGTTTCATTTGATACTGGACTGAAATCACAGTCTTGATTCTTAGTTGAAATATCTAATTCTTTCTGAGTAGACCCTTTAATGTAGCTTGATAAAAAGTAAAGCTCTGGTGTTGTTAACAATGGCTTGGCAACAGATGTCCTTGTGCCTTTCATTGTAAGTTAATAGAATGGCAGAACATCTGTGCCAGTAATCAGATAAAGTGGGGCTTGCTTTCAAGCAGTAGAGAAATCAGTGAGGAAAGAGCTGATCACAAACTACACGCAGCTTCTTGCAAACCTTGCAGGTACACAGCTATTGTCATGTGAACTCCATTCAAGGTGGACTGCTGTTTTATGCTGCGTAAACATGGCCATTTCCAGAAAATTTCAAAGTTTTGCTCTCATCAAATATATAAGCTAACATTTCTTCCGAAATAGTCAGATCTATCACTTTTAAATTTGTGTAGCTTTTCTTTTTTACTTCATTTGATTACTTTTACAAATCATTGTATTGTGCTGTTAGGGATTTGTTATCTACTATACATGTAACACCATACTTACCAAAACTTGATTTTACTGACTAGTGGATTTTCACAAATAAAAAGTCTTTAAATTACTCTGTCTCTTAGGTTAATTAGGTCTCTAATTAATCGACATGTTGGGATTGAGTATGTGTTTAAAAGTAACCCTGCCCCTAATAAATCTTCTTTTCAAACAAGCTAATTCATTAGTCTCCAACTATCAACTGAGTAGCTGGCTATTCTGACTTACCTGGATGTCAGAATTCCAGTGGAAAAATAAGCCCAAGAAACTGGTGAATTGTGGGAAATGCATCAAGAGCTCAAAGAATCAGATTTATGGGTAGTGGATTTAAGAGGCAAGTACACAGTCTAGTACAGGACTGTTACTGGAGTTCTTTATGTGTAACTACTGGTGTTTCAGCAAAGAGATGATTTTATTTTGTGAAGAGTCAGCACATCAGTATGGGGGTCACAACATTATGGTTTCAAAATTATAGAAGATGTTAAGTAGAAAGAGGTGGTATTACTTTTTCTGCAACAAAGAGATCAACAAACTTCTACCCATGAGAGCTGGGTTCAACGGGTATGACATTCATAACTTCCAAGAACAGTTGCAACCCCTGGGCCTCTGCTGATCCTATAGAGATATTCAAATATATTTATGCATGCTTATTTGACTCTGAATTGTCTTAAATTCAAACTGACAATCCCTGATCCCTATGAGGTACAAACTTAACCTCAGGCTTAATATTAAGTTAGTTAGGAATGGGTAAGTGTTGGTAAGTGTTGTTTATTTCTTCATCACCACAAAATGGCAAATGTATACGTTTACATTTTCACAAATAGTGCATGCTTTTCTTGATGCTCCTGATTGGATATTAGTGTTAAGATATGGCCTTTTAACACATAAGATTAAGGAAACAAAAAAGAATCAAAAAGGGAAGAAATATTTTCACAAAAAACAAACTCAATTAAACTGTCTCTCTTTCTGACTCAAATTGTGATATTTTCAATCAGGCTCAGTAAGATAGAGAACACATGAAAAACAAAATTCTTTACATGAAATATAAAAATTAAAAATAATTAATAAATAAAGCAAATTCCAAGGAAACAAAACCTCTAGTTAAATCATTTAACTATTTTGGTTTTCTCACTGATAACCAGCTCAAAATTTAAATAAATTCTGGCATATTGACAGTGCTGACTTTGCCTGCATCTACAACCTTATTATTAACAAGTGTACAGGAAAACTGAAGTTGGATTAGAAAAAATATATAAATAACAAATATATAAATAAATGTGATGTCATGTGATCTATTTTATAAACAGTATAAAATGTTCTTTATAAAGGGAGGACAGCCTAAATATGGTAATTAAATGTCTAGTTATCGTTATACTGCCATCAAAATCTGCCAACACAAACTGGTATCATATTTCTGAATGCCATATGAAAGTCTTATCAGCATTTATTTCTGCATTGAATTATTCTGCAGTCCATGTAAATATGTTTCTATCTGTTCATGGCTATGGTGTTGCAATCTCAATGAGGTCGGTAAGTACACCATTTTTCACTGAGGGTTGTAGGTTGAAGAAATAAAAATCAGCATTTAAGAATTATCTTTCAGAAATACATAAACCAGTCATATCAACAAACACTGAAAATCTGAAATTGAAAAGACTTAACAAAGATAAATTAGGCTAATCTTTTTACAATCATTTTTTGTTTATCCTTCGTCAAGGCTACTGGTATCTTATTCATTATCCTGTTGTGTAAGGCTAATACCAGATGTCCAGTCAAAAGTAGTACACAAGCCCAATTATCTTATTGAAGGTATTATCTAAAACAAAGCATTGAGGTGTGATGCCTTGATGTTGTCATAGTGACAGAAAATGAGCAAAAAGGGGATGAATAGGGTGGTTTTAGTAGTTAAACTGTCATTTAACAAAGTAATTTAAACATGCAGCCTCTAGTGTAATAGCATCAGTGAGAATTTATCTGTGTAAAGTTATGGACAACTATATGTTCATAAGACTGAATTTTTTTTTAAAAATAAATATGTATAAAACCACAAATCCACACAAAATAATTCAACTATCTATTCCTCTCCTCTGAGGGTTTACTCATATTGGCTGAATTAAACTCACACTTAGACACACGTATGCAAACTTCTGACACCCGAAGGAAATAATTAAACAAGCATATGTATGAGCATCTTGTATTTTAATCCTTCCAATAATATATACTGAAGTTCTTTAGAATTACCTAATTCTAAAGACACAACCATGTTCTTCTGAACCTTGTTAGATGTGTGTGCTTTGTGATGTGTCCACATAAACCTCAACAGTATTTTACTTATTACCAGCATCTTATTACCACAGCTGTCACTTTCTAGTCTGTTAACTATTTTTTTGACAACAGCAGAACTGATGCTCTCAGACAGCTCTCTAATCTCAATCATTATAAGGAAGAAAATTAATACCACTGCTCCCTTTTCTAAAGACAAATTACATAACTTCCCTTTGTGATTAACAAAGAGTAATTTGACTCAGTTAAATGATTTCCTTCAGCCATCATTCGCTGTTTAACCCAGTTCATGTACAATAAGAAAATTAATTATCTTGCTTCAGGAAATTGTTTGAATTAAATTAAACAAATGTGTATTGGTAAAATTTGTGTTTGTACTGATTTCTCAAAACAATTGTGTTATTACAGTTAAAAATCCAAATCCTTCCAAATATATGGATAAAGCTAAGTGCACAAGTTTCATTACAAAAAGATCCAATAATTCAATAATCTACAATTATGATGTGGCTATAATGGCCATTTTTATACTTCTCTTTACAGCAAAAAGTACCACAATTACTGTATACCAACACCTAACTCAAACTTACACAGTTGCTGTGAGTCAAAGAACCTCATTTTTGGAGGCTCAAGCTCAAAAAACAAAACTTCCAATCTGGGTTCTCAAAGTATGATTCCCACACTGCCCTGTCCTCATCAATGTGAAGATGTTACAAGTTGGGCCAAGGCCTGCAGCTTCCACACAAGGACATGCAGACCAAAAACCAGTTGCATCATATGTTGACATTAAAAATAAAAGCTCTACACTGACCAAACTTTTTGAATGAATAAGAATAAGCACTAAATAACAGATGAACAAATGAATCCACAATGTGGACAGCAACGTTCATATGGAATATTATTCTTTCACATTTAAAACTCATTAATGAAGCCACTTTTAAGGGGAAAACTTCTGTTTCCTCTTCCGTTTCATTAAGGAAAAACAGCCAGGTGATGGTGGCTATTTTTGCAAGCAATCAGTGTCAGAATCACTATCAGATTTAGTTGTGGAATTATCAAATATTTTCTGTGACAGAAAGAAACTGTAGAATAGCGTGCAGTGTTGTTGAAAAAATGGACATTAGCATTAATACGACGCTAATAAAAGTACATTATCAGGCTGATTATTCTGGCTTAGTCTGATAGTTTGTCTTTTAAGAATTCATAAGTAAATCCTACAGATTAATCTATTGCTGAGATTAATTAAAAAAGAAACAATTTTAAATGCTCATCAAAAGGGTAGCCTGCACATTAGAATTATACATTTAAAAAAATCTTATTTATGAAACCCCAACTTTGAGGGAGAAAAAACTAAATTAAAAGTTTCTATGGCACACTTGAAATCGATGTGTGTTCAAAATTTAACAAATTGGAAAACTCTGAAAGAAGTGTAGAGCAAATTTCACATAAGTCAGTGTGACAAAACCTTTATAATGAGTGGATAGAATTCAGTGTTAAATGTTATCATGAACCCGCAAAGGTGACTACTCTCTCTTACCGCAGGTAATCTCTCCGGCATAGAATGAGGTTAGCCTTGGTGTAGAGTGTTGAGCCTACTTCGCCCAGCCTGCAGTCACAGCAAGCACACTTGAGGCAATCCTCGTGCCAATACTTATCAAGGGCCTTCAGCAGGTAGCGGTCCTTGATCTTCCGGTTGCAGCCGGCACAGCCTTTTGGCTTGGTGTCCGGCTGGACGGAAAGCATTTGTATACCTGCAGGAGACACAGACAAGTTTTTTTTTTATATATACTACGCAGCAATACATTGCTTAAGGAGAATGCAAACTTTTTTTTTTTCTTAAACTGTGAAAGAAAGAAAAACAAATCACCAGAACACCAAATAAAGCTGAAGAAAGAATGATAAAACAACGACATCAAAAACATTTTTAATCCCATATCATATGTGTATAGAAATTTTGCAATGTGTGTTGGTTATGTGCTTGTCAAAAAATGGTTTACATAGATTAGAAAAGCTAGAAAAAGAATGCAGTATTTAGTTATTTGATAAACATAAATGTTTAGTGCTATCCTTCCCTGTTACAAATGTTAAGTGTTATCCTTAACACTTACACCAATATTTTACTATTTTAACCAAATTGAAAAATAAATATCAAGGAAACTAGAAATGTAATTGGTGAAATGCAAAATGCAATAACACCATAAAAACATTATCAAAAAGTTTAAGAAATTAAAGCAGACGAGATCTTAAGAAATCTTGCAAAACAATTTTTTTATATTTTAATATTTGAATTTATTTTCAGGGACATATGCTATGTCTTTGTTTTACTCTTTCATCTCTGCTACGGTTGTTGTACTTTACAATTATGTAAATTGACTTTACTAATGTCAAATTACATTTTCCTGGTTAAATCATTAAATCATTGAGAAAAAACGCCCAACACAAAACACACAACGAAGACCTAGTGTCGACAGCGTTCTTGATAGTTAGCAGACTTTACTCTGAGTCTGGTGATCACTTGAAACATATGTATGCAGCAATGTTTAACTATTCAGATATCGGCAAGCGCAGACACAAAGCCACTGTTTCACGTTTGTCATCCACACTTAGCATAGTTTACGTTGACCTCCTGTGTGTGTAAAGGGGCGTGGTTACAGGCCAGGCGCTTTGCAGTGCAGCGTATTGTTTGGCCTGAGATGACTGTGGAAAGCCTTTGTTGGCCCTCTGGGTGCCAGGGGGGCGTTTGACAATTGAGGCTTCACAGCAGGCTCAAATTAGTATTCTCCTTCCATTCCCCGAGGAGAGGCATAGCCTTACTTCCCTTTGTCCCCCATTCGCCACACACGATATTTGCAACATGTATTGAGGAAGAGTTTCAGATTTGGTAATTTTCAAATTAAGGACTGAAGATATGAGAAGGTAGTCACCCATTTACCTATCGTGCCTCAATTTTATGGGTTTTTCTCTTTTATGGAGAGCAAATGGTTCCCATTAAGTTTTCTAAAAGTGCAAAACATCTTGTCTTGTTATTACTGTGTGAATGCAGTTTTTAAGCGCATTCTAACTGCCCACTTAAGATTAACTTGCACAGATTTTCAATGTGATGGATAGCCTATCTAAAACAATGCATCAAAGGTTTGAATGTGTAAAAAGTCAGCAACGGGACAGATGGAGGAATTAGAAAAGACTACTTTACATTACTTCAAATGGATTAAAACGCGCAAGAGTTGGGGATAAAGATTTATGTTGATAAAAAGACGGAACAAAATCAACAAACAAAATGAATCGTTCTTCGCCTGCTACACATTGTTAAAAAGTCTACTATATATCAAACAGGTTGGAGTATTTTTTTATCTAATTTATTCCCATACGCCAGGACTGTTGATTTGTTTATTGAATGGATTTAAAGAGCGGAGGCACCGGCTGTTTTAAGTGATCCGCCCGCCCTCGTTAACACTACAAAGTACGAGCCTTTTCAATACTAAGCCAAAAGAAGAAAGAGTTTCTACTCCCCTTTTTCACTGAAATCAAGAGTGGGGGAGAAGCATGGAAGGAATTTGGTCACTTGGCTTTTATGATTTCCGGGAGAAGTCCTTGATAAAAGCTCCACTTTCCCGAAAGTCACGTTAATCACGGCTGCACAGAGACCTAATGATCGCCTATCAGATTTACTTAGCGTGCTCTCCTAATTTTCTCCCCTCTTTTCTACTCAGCCTGTTCAGCCAGGGCGTTCAGGCTGCCGTTGATGAGCGTTCCTCGCAACACCTGAGCCCGATAGATAAATACACCTTAGTATATCAGCCCCTGCCGATTGGCCACAAGATGCTGACATTTCATATTATCGTTTTAATTACTGTTGCCATGGCAGCGCAGTGCAATAAAAGCCTACATTTAAGGCGATTTGATGTTGATGTCACAGAGCATACAGTTTCGCGAGCACAAAACAGAAATCGTACGGACATATAGGTCACAAAGCTTTAAAATAACTAACATTGACAATCCTATCACTACTCTATTACGTTATCGGTTATAAGTTATCGGTAGAGCAGACCTTATTGATATCTATTGGATGAGGTAGATGCAGAGGTCGGTCCCGTTGTTTCTAAAGCAGAGATGCTTTAACTTCGTCGCAGAAAAACAATAAACACATTGAACACAGGCTACTGCTCGTGTAATCCGCAGCTAAAGGAAGAGTCTTACCGAAACTTTGTTCCCTTTTCTGCATTTGTTGAGCCGCTGGAGCAGCCGAAGCACCACCATGCAACCCCGGAGCCACCTAGTTTGGAGAGCAGCTGTCTGCAGGCAGACTGAAATCAGGCTTTGTTGGAGAGGGAACAATCCAGCACAGCTACCAAAGAGGAATGAAAAGAAGGGGGAAACATTGGCCAACAAAAACGCAGGCGAAGGAGTTGCAGCGATGTGATCGCTACTGTCTGCCGTCACATGGCGTGTGGAGCACGTTTATCGGCGATCGGAGCGGTAGCCTATGTGCTGGGAGATGCTGGCAGCGAATGACAGGATGACAAAGAGATGCGCCCCCCACCCCCCCCAACCCCCCCACCCCCGCGACTCAGAGACCATCTGATCAGACTGGCAGCATAATCACAACTGCTACGCGCGGGTTAACCCATCGGCGCTTTGATTTGCCACCGGGAATCGGAATTTTTATATCCAATATTCCAGGCTCATCTTTACATTTAACCTTATCTTTTACATATTTTTTTTTAACATTAAGGATTACCCCCATCTTGCACCCCTAACCTTTTATTTATTGGCCACATATATTTATTCGCAGCATTGAGATTCTTGACCAAAACTCAGAAGCTCAAGCAACAGATTTCCCCTAGCTCCCAATGAGCAAGTTCAAATAATTAGTAGGGGGTATTTTTAAAACGTGGATGAGGGTCAAAATGACGTGCCAGACATTTCTTCAACAAAAAAACCGTGTTAATTACCCCTATATACAGGTACTTATCTTCCGGCTGTGGAGCCTGCCCATCTTGCCGAACTACAGTCAGTATCTTCCTTATTAATTGAACGGCACCAGGGCAAGCAAACCATTAGTATGACCAAACTTTTGATTTACGGGTGAAATTTACAACACCACCAAGCGGGGCCAATCAGTTGATCCTATGAAATGGAAAACATGCGTTACGGCATCCTTTTTTTTAAGTCACAATACTTTTTCCAGTAAGACTCCTTTCTTTTTGTTGGAGATGGTACCAATTCGAGGGACCACCATGGAATTGGAGGAAAAACAAAGAGCGGGATTTTAACCTACTAGTTTGATCTTTTAGTAAAAAAAATATAGAAAGGGTGGTCACTTTTAGGCAGGGGTTCCAAGTTATAAAGCTTGATTCAAATCTCAGATCAAGGGATGTAACTGTTTAAATCTGTTTCGTCTCCACTTTTTGTGTTTTCTGTATGTTTGACGTGCTTTTTATTCCCTTTGAGCTGAGCAACGAAAATAACAGCCTATGAGAAAATAAAAGCATTACAGTGGAAATAAAAAAGCCCTAACTGAAGTTTGCAATCCAAGCAATATTTGGAATGGACACCCCCACTTCCCTCACTTATGGTCTTTAAAGCGCCATTACAGCTTTCTATTTATAAATTGATGTAACAACACCTTTTTATTCTGATCGTATGGATCAATTAGAGACCCATTTCGCACTGTTTGGGCCTGTGGCCGTGATGAACAAACCACCCACCGCAAAAACTTCACCCTCACACTCCCCGTTGCATTTAGTACATCATACAGTGCTGCAACAACCAACCTGGTCCTGCAACTTATTTTTTTCAATGTAGTCATAGCAAGAGAAAGGAAAATGGAGGACACGTCAGGAGGAGGAGACACAAGTCAATAGTTGGCATGCAGCTCCAGCCTAAAATGCAGCGTTAATAAGATGGGTCATAAAATGCTCTCTGCTCGCCGTGATGAGTGATGAGATGCATTAAAGCTGACAGGGTATTACCTGCCAGTAATTAGGTTTTGTCATGGATTGAATTATTTCAAGGCTGCCCATCTTGGTAATCACGTAATTTGCTGCAGACTGTCTGTAGTATGTGTGAGTCTGCCTCCTCTCTCCCGGTTCCTCTCCACCCTCCTTTCACTTACAGCGTTCCGCCAATTAGCCCACTCATTCTGTGTGTGAATAGAAGATGGAACTAGAACGCGGCAGAGAAAGTGGAGGATGAAGACTGTCACAAGACCGTCATCGGAAACAGTTCCAGGAGAGGATAAGCTTGTTATAGGGTACTTTATGACCCTATAACTTTTAACTTCTGATCCTGTGTCAGTCACAGCGGGGACTTGAACCAAAGTGGACATCCACAGCGGTACCCAACACGGGTCACCTAAACACACACACACACACACACACACACCATTTTTTGTATATAAAAAATATATATATATATTTTTTCCTATATATATATATATATAGCCTATCTTCAAATTCAAAGCTTCATCTGGAGACTCATACGACTGCTGCACAGGGAGACATTGCCTACCTTGACTTTTGCTACAGCCAGGGATTCCCAAAACAATCAGATCAGTACTGCTGTTTTTCTTCACTTGGAGTCAAGTTGCCAACCAGGCAGCTTTCTTAGCGCTAGTTAACTCCTGATCTCCTACGGGATACTAGGCGACGAAGTTAAAGTGACGTTGAGAATAGTTGCCGAGTGATTGCTGGGATGTAAAATCCTATGGACTACTTGGCTCTGTCCGAGGCTTTTCAGGTCCG